TATATATATATATATATGAGAAAACTTCTTCAAAAAATTTTAATTATAATTGCATATTTTGGCTTTAGAAATGGCAATTTCCTGCTTTGATATTAATCATAAAGCTCGATGAAAAAAGGCTGGTTAGGGGAGAAAGGTTTGTTTTTTTTCTGCACCCCTGCAATGAAAAAAAAATGTAGGAAAGATTTAATGTTTAGCTTAATAATTAAAAAATTTAAAGTGACAAATAAAATAAATTAATTTTATTTTTTATATTTTGCTCTGATTTCTTAAAAAGAACAAAAATTAAACAAGGTAATTATTTCATATTAAATTACTAAGGATGCAAAAATCCTCATAACTAAATGAACATTTTGGCGATTTGCTATTTATTATAGCTGTTAGAATTTGATTTGCTATTTGGGCAAATTTGTACTAATATTTCCCTGCCAAGACAATTATCCCCATTCAATAGAATGTGAAAAAAAGATCAGTTTTCTGTGCAGAAAAGAAAACTGGTTGGACCTCAAACTGAGACTAAGGTCAACTAAAGGGCTCACCTAAAGAAAAGATTGAGGCAAAAGAAAAATTACACTACTTGTTTTGGTCATTCAATAAATATTTTTAAACTAACTATACACTTATACATAAAAATCATTATATTAATAACAAGTTTATTTCACCTATTTAACCAGTAAAATATTAAGAGACAATTATTAAGGTTATAAAATTATATTTACCTCAATGTTATGTGGATTTCTGCAGCAAGAATAAGGTACAGCGCATCTTTCAGGACTCAAATTTTGGGTAGAGCAGTTAAAGTATATATTTTTTGACCAATCTTTATAGCCTTCATCAGATATGCCACAACAAAGAAACTAAAATTTAAAACATTTAAAAAAAATTTGTTAAATAAGTATTCATACTTCTTAATAATAATTACTTATGCAGAGCTTGTGTTAAAAACTTTAAATTATTAGCCAGTGAATTATTAGCAGTTATCCAAATATCAAAAATAATAGCCAAATTTCAAAATTCTTAGCCAAAGACAAATCTAAACAATTTTTAATGATATATTTTTTTCCCATAGAACTTCAAATAAAAAACACAAATTTACTAAAAGTGTTTTAATTTTTATTTTATAAATACTTTAATCATTAAAAAAAAAAAAAAAAGCTGAACTTTGAAATAGACATATTCTAAATAAACCACAATTTAACGATACGGGCAAGAATTTCTGCTTAAAATCCCGAGACATCATCGAAAATTTACAACATAGCGTAACGGCTTGCCGAGAAACAATGCTCTCTGTCTATTTAGAAAAACCAACAACTGTCTGTCTGATTCTCGATGTCTGAAAGCAATGACGTAATCATGAGGAAAGTGCGGTTGGGTAAAGCAGAGAAAGAAATACTCCCCAAATTAGTTTCTGTCAGATTGACTGAGGAGGTAGAAGAGAAATTTTTATTATTTTTTATTCTTGTTTAATTTATGTACTTTTTATTTTTGAAAATGAAATCTGATGAAACGAATAATTTTGTACTTTGCTTTGATTCATGAGTGAAAAATATTAGCAAACAGAAGGTGGTAGGAAAATTATCAGAAAAATACATAGCCATGCTTTACCATATAAATATAAAGACCATATAAGTAAAAAGAGAGAAGTAAAAATACACATTTTTAATTAGAATATACTAAAATGGCTACTTTTTAAATCAATATTAAACTAGGTATATAGTTAAGCTATATTGAATAACTTTTTAGGAATCCAGAAAACTAGGAATTTCAGACTTTGAGCATAGCGATGGTCTTAAGCATTCCAGATAATTGGTTCTCAACTGTATTGTTATACATTTTAAACACTAAATAAAACATTTTTCTAAAGAAGAAAAATATTTCTTTCCTAAATTTTAGAGAGAAAAAAAGAATATTACTCTTTCACACATGAAAGAGTAAAATTCTTATAACTAATCAGACACATACTTCTGTTTGCAGAGCATCAATGACATTTTGCAGATTTGCATCATCTCTGTACTTGACTATCAATTCTTTTGATAAACCACCAACTTTTAGAAGATCAACAAATTTATTTGGAAACACAAAAGCAAACACAGTCAGTGCCATTTCTCCGATGAAGAGAAGCAACAGAGTAAATGAATACTATAATAAGAAATTAATAGCAAAAAATATTTTCAAAAAAACAATCATGCATAATAAGAATATGGCACAAAAAATTTAAAAAAGAAATTAACTACACTATACAGTAAAAATTCTACAGATACTCAAATTCAGATATTTTTTGAAAAATAATAAAAAATATATTTTAGCCTTCCTTGTTTCTGATTTCTCCTTTTTCACTTTTTAGTAATCGAGATTAGTAAATGATATACATAACTTTCACAAAATTTCTCCATTTCCTTTATCTACAATACGGAAGCACAACCATTTTGAGTGAAGGGCCACATGCACAGCAGATTGACCAATGAAGGGCTACATGCCCAAGTATTTAGACAGACATGTTGACATTAATTATAGTTAGTAATTACTAACTTTATTATATTTATTATAATAAATACATTTATTAACATTTATATATATTATCATATAAACCTTTATTATAAACATCATTGTTCCAGGCACTAAATTCTTATTATTAGTTAATGTAGCAATATGTTTGTATAATATTAAATACTTTTAAATGTTTCAAACTTAAGATAGCAAAACTGATGACTTTTTAAAAAAAAAAAAAAAAAAAAAGAAGAAGAAAGAAAGAAACAGAAAGTNAAAAAAAAAAAAACATTCTCTTATCAGGAAAAAAATCAGATAAACAAAAACAATGAGAAAAATCATGAGTTTTTTAATCTTATTACATAAATTCACTTGAACATAAATATAAATTAAAAAACTTTATGTTTAAAGAATTAAATTTTTAAAAAAATTGAATTTTCTATTGAGTTAAAGTTAAATACTTTAATTTAAAGAAAGTTTATAGGGTTTAATATGATTTAAATTTAAAAAAAAGCCTTACAACGCAAAATGTGATTCAACATTTAATAAGGAATATACTTGAATTTCAAAACATTTATTTTAAGTAAATTACAAAAAATTTTACAAATCTTATTTTTAAAAAAAAACTTTTTTAAGCTTAAAAAACTTAAAATTGAATTTCGAGAGTTGTAATATTATGCTAAAATATCAGGATAATCAAAATCATAAGGAAAAATCGAGTAATAACTGCAAAAAAAACCTCTTAAATTTATGGCACAAATGGAGCACATGGAAAAGTGATTACCTTAAGGAAAACTGAAATCTTGTATGTCCTAATAATATAGTATTAAAAATATTAGGATTAAAAAAATCAGGATCCTTTAAATCACATGGCAAAGCTGCTAAAAAAAAAAAAAAAGACCTAAATCACTTTGCATTTAAAATGAAATCTGCACAAATGAAGTGCTAAAAAGTTTGTATTCAAATGTGGAGTTTAAAATTCAAGTGTCGTAATAGCATATTAAACATATTGGGACTTTCAAAACAGTGCAGAAATGGCAGAACAATAAGTGCCAGAATAACAATCAAAACAGAATCTGGATTTGCAATTAAATTGTCACAAATAGACCATGCTAAAAAGTGGTTATCTAAATTAGCAATTTGATACTCGCGATTCGTTATAATATTGCGCTAAAAATAATGCGATTTTAATAGCCACCCGCAAATGCAAAGCAATAACTGCTGAAAAAAGGATCAAAGCGCTTTGGATTTGTGATAAAGTTTGAGCAAATAAGTCATGTCAAACATCAAAATATGTTTATATAAATGCATCATTTAAAAACGTTAAAATGTATTTACAAAATTCTCAATTTTAGAAACTACATGGAAACACGTAAAAGTAACTACCAAAAAAGTCATTAGATTTATCATGAAATCGGCACACATGAAGTGCGTCAAAAGTGAACTAAAACTTGAAATTTGTATCATAATGTTTTAAAAATATAGAGAATTTTAAGCCTGTGTAAATTCGTAGAGTTAACCATATAAAAACTACATTAAGATAGAGCACGTCAAAAACTTAAATATGCAAGTTAAATTTTCTTTATTTTTCAAAAAAAAAAAAAAATAATAATAATAATAAATAAATAAATGATTTTTTTCAGATGCTGCCACGGACCATACATCGAGAATGAGTGAGCTGCACAATTAACACCCCTAACCTACAATTTTATTTCTAATTTTTTTATTTTTCAACAATAAATAAATAAATAAATGAAATATTTTTTAAATTCTTTTTCAGATGCTACCATGGGCCGCACATTGAGAATGGGTGGGTTGCACATTGAGCACCCTTAAATTTATCATCCCCAAAAGCCTTGGCCATTTCAATAGCACATTTTTTTTTTTTTACCAAATTGCCATTTTTGCATTAGCAAGCGCAAGAGAAATGGAGTATGAAGCATGCAAAGCAGATGATTGACCATGAAAAATTTGGTAAAAATTTCTGTTTAAATTTCTTCTTTAAATTAGCGATCAAAACACAAAATACATACTCCATGGTTATATATTTTTTTTCATGCAACGTTGAATAATGTCACTGATATCATTAGCATGCAAACTAAAACTTTTTAACTGATTGAAACTTTTTTTGAAACTAATTGAAAAGTTTTTTTCCCAATTAAGCAATCCCTTTCCCAATGATCATTAATAGCTAGATTTTCACTATGAATCTTGTATTTCCTTCCACTCATTATGAATATAGCATAAAATTAAAAATTAGAGAACAGAAATTTAGTAAACTTATTTTTATTTGAAAAAAATTCAAATAATGCTTGTTACCTGTCATTTTGAATTTTCTCCCATTGATAAACTTAGTCCGAAAGTTGTTTGCTTTAAAAAACAAAACAAATCCTTTTATAATAAACTAATAAAAAGTCTTAGTAGCTTGTAAAGGTTTTCACGAAAACTTGCCCACAAAAATTATATTTTTTATAATTAATATATTTTGGTTCGAGGGTCGGATGAAAGTTGGATACCACTGATCTATTAAAAAATTGCACTTTACCAATACCTAGAATTGGGCTTCCTATGTCACAAATTGCTCAAGACATAGAAGCATTTTCTACAGTTTTATATTCAAAGAATGCATCCAAATTATTAAAAAAATGGGTTGAAGCAACAGTATCAAAAAGTTAAGTTCCTTTGTAATTTGATGAGCTTAGTGGAAGAACCAGTTGAGTGTCACTTTAGTGAATTTGAGTAAATGAGCTGTAAAGTTTATACGTTCCTCCTTTTTGTTTTTTCGCTCAATCTTTATGTTTTCAGTATGTTTGTGAAGGCGTAACTTACAAAATTTTTAAAGGTTCATTTATTTGAATCTAATTCTTTTATAAAGGGTTTAATGATTTTATGATTAACGTTTTAATGATTTATAACTGTAGTATTTGCTTGTTCTCATGGATGATTTTCAATGTTTTCATCAAATATAATTTTATTTGAAAATATAAAATAAATATACATATATTTAGGCTTAAATTCATAGAATAAAATTTAAACAACCTTAATCTGACAACTATTGGTATCAAATTTTCTCCAGCCTCGTTAGTCTGAAAACCAATCAAAAACGATTTAGAGGCAGCGAGAGCTCAACTTTTGCAGAGTAGATGTTTCACTGGTATGTATCACTTTAATTGGAGAGAATTCGATAATTTTTGATTTTAAAAAAGTGTTTTTATAAATAGCGCTGATTGTAATCAAAATGTTATATCATTTTGTTACATCTAAAGGTATTTCTGAAATTAAATACAAGTATTTTTATTAGTTTTAATACAAAATATATCTAAGTTTAGTTGTTAAACACAAATTATTTTCAAATTTCCTTAAAAATAATGCAGTTTCAAGCAAAAATGACATTTTAATTTATAGAAATGTTTACAAAACAGATTTTTTTCTATCATTGTAAACTAGGTCTTCATGAGTTTTTAATTTAATCACAGTTTTTTCTTATTGTGGTAAGCTATGCGATCATGATTAGCTACCAGACTTTAATTTTTCTTCAGTGAATATGAAGTTTTCTTAATTTTCAACTTCTTAGCCTTGAATCTAGAATACAACAAAATACCTGTTTAAACAACAAGGTCATATTCACTTTCCAGCGAAACTTATCAGCATTTGAGCAAAATGGAGCTAAGTGATGGCTGGTATGGGTCTCTTCTACCTGACAACATCATTAAATAAGTAGATCGATAAGTAGCAGAGTGAATTTAACACAATGGAAGTACTCGGGAAAATACAGCTCCTTCAGAAACATATATTATTTATTTGACGATTATGACACATGAGTAACTGAGTAAACTGGGTAAAACATAAAACAAGCACAACAGTTAACATATTACATAACTCTGTTTACAATCTTCCTTTCAAACAAAAAAAGGGGGACAAGGGGGAAATATCACCAAACAGAATGAAGTTGGAAAATGTAAGGAAAATACATTGTTATGCTTTACTGTATAATTAGAATTAAGTAAAAAGAGTGAATTGAAAATACAGATTTTAAATTAGAATATTATAACGGCTAAAATACAGTTATTATTTTTTTTATTCAATATTAAAGTAGAAAGATAGTTAAGCTGCATTGAATATTTTTTTTTGCGACCCAGAAAAATAGAAAATTCAAAAATCCAGGAAAACAAAGGTCTTCAGCATTCCAGATAATTGGTTCTCTAAAATTTAACAGATTTTCACAATTTCCTAACATTTAAAACTATAACTATCAAGGAATACTGATTTTTGGTAAATGAAACCAGATCCAAATTATTCCTAATTTAATGAAAGCCACATACATTAAACACTCATAAAAATATCGTACATGAGGAATAAATATTATTTCTACAATTATCTTTACTGATTGGAAACTTCAACAAGCAATTACTAATTGTCTTATTTGTATAATCTAGGGCCAGCTTTTCCCAAATTTTTAGCTAATGGCTTTCTTGCATCAAAAGATAGGCTTCACTTATTATATTTAATAAGATATTAGATCACAGCAAGAAAATTTTAGCAAAATTTTATCATGGTGCTCACAGACATTAGGTTTAATATAACTCAATAAAAAGAGCAAAAAATAAATATATCATGAACATTTAACACTTAGATGTTAAGTTAATATGCAAAAAAAAAAAATAATTACAAATAGTAGTCAAACTAAATGGATAAATATGTACTTACACACTTTAAGAGACACAAGTTTTCTCTTAGAGCCCCAAGACAACCTCCAAAACTGATAATAAAAACTATTCCACCAAAAACCATGATTACAATAGATACATGAACAAAAAGCTCAAAGGCACTGTTTACTTGTGGAAGACCCTTGAAATTGTATTCTTCTAAAAATGACCAACCTCCAATAGCTACAACAGCACCTCCTACAAACTGAAAAAAAAAAAAAATTTAACATTAAATTGTTGGCCAAGAGATACATAATATGAAAGGTGAAGTAACAAAATAGACTAGCTTTTCAAACATGATTTGTCTGACTGTCTGATGGACTTTTCCATTTTTTAGCATGGGTAAGCATACTCAGTTTTGCTTACATTCAGAAAAAGGAAATATAGGAGGGTTACATTATTAAAAATAATAGGAAGTGACATATAGGAAATTTTGTCATTAAAATAGCTGCCAACTTGTTAAAAAGAAAAATAGGAATACAAAGCATGATAAGCCATTATAATTTTCATTAATGAATAGAAAATAACTCATTTCTTTTTTAACTACAAATAGATAGTTAAAATAGAGATTTTAATGTTTTTTTTTTGTTTTTAATGTTTAATGTTTTCTAGATTTCTAATGTTTTTTTTCATGCAATGTTATAATTATACTCGAAATTCAAATCGTACATTTGATTATTCACTTCTACTGCGAAATTCCCCCTTTTTTTCAAATTTCCTGCAGTTATTGCTACTCATTTTCATGTGGTTTTTAAAATTCTGGCATTTGGCATAAATTATTACGACACGTAAAATTTGAATTGTGCATTTAAATAAATATAAGTTTTATGGCACGCTCTATGTGCGCCAATAGTATGATAAATTTATGTGTTGTTCGATTGTTTTTTCAGTTATTATGGCCATTGATTTTTACAAACTTTTTAAAAAGCTCTATATATTTCGTAGAAAATGGGAAATATGAGTTGTGCATTTGAATATTTACTTTTTTACGTGAAGATTCTATAATCTTTTCAGATGATATTATGGAACTTTTTGCTATTGATTTCCACATAGTTTTTAAAATCAAATATTTTTAATGTCCAACAGGTCGGTAGGCAGCCAAATCACTTATGGGACGGTAGTATAAAATAGACTATTGAAATAAAGGAATTTTTTCTTCTAGTAATATTAATTTTCTGCATGAATTAATGTGCAACTGCATAAAACCATAATTTAAAAAAATGTTGTGAAGCATGCAAGGCCTTATTATTGCATGGGCCTGGGCAAAATGTCTTAGCGGTACTGAATATCAGATATTGAAATTTATTTTTTCAGTATAATTACTATAAATAATAATAATTATACTGAAAAAAACATAATATTTAATTTTTACAATTGTATTTGATAAGCAATGTAACACATTACGTATAAGTAACACATTACGAATAACTGATAAGTACTAATAACACATTACTAAGTAGGTAAAACATTAATTTTTATTTATTGTTAACCACTTTAATGAACAGAAATCTTTCAGTTTCTATGTGCCTGCTGTATTTATATGGAATATAATTAGAATTTGATATTCAATAACAATAATACAATAGGTAACCAGGGGTCTGTTTAGAAGAAATTTGGGTCCGTTAACGGACCCTTCACAAAATATCTTTTCATAAAAACGGACCTTTCACAAAATATCTTTTCATAAAAACGGACCCTTCACAGAATAATTTATCTTTTAATCGGACCCTTCACAAATTTGTTTATCATTATTGTCATTCATTATTGTCTTGTTAATCGAATAAACTCCTCCGGGGGGGGGGGGGGAAGACTAAGNCCTCGGGGGGGGGGGGAGGAAAGACTAAGTTTTCCAAGTTTCCCTAAGTTGAAATTCCAAATGTAGTATTCTAAGAAAATATTTCTATTTTTACAAACATAGTGTGCACATTCTTATTAATATTGAATGATAATTTTTTTATTTTTTTTGTAAATAAATAGTTGATCAATTTATGATTCATAATCAATTAATTATTTATAAAACTAATTAATAGATTATGTAAATAAAAACTAATTTCTGGCAATTTTTTAAATAAAATATTATAAATTTAAGAATTGTTTAAGTTTACTTATTGCCTAACACATTAAAAGTGATACATAACTAAGTTGTGTTATTTAAAATATGTCAATTGAAATTATTAAAAATGTGAGTGATTTTGTTTCCATTATTCGTCCGAAATGAATATTCTGTGTTGAGCAGTATAGGCTAATTACCAAACATTTGTATGTTGCATCTCTAATTTAGTAGCAGCAATTGTTGAGCAGAATCTTGTATCTATTTACAATTTAAAAACTTCTTGAAAAGGTTTTTAGCAATTTTTGCAATAACAAGACCTTATTTGCACAAATTCACAAAAGCAGGACCCTGGTTGAAAGAATGTGACTTAACGCTTATTTTATATTCACAAATTATGAGTAGTTTTTTCACAATTTTACAAAAACAGGACCTTTCACAAAATGTCTGCACAGACCCCTGGTAACTTCATAAAAAATTACAATTAACATTCGATACAAGATTCACAATTTAGAGTTTCTTCATTGCAAAAAGATAAAATGTTTAAAATTTAATACAAGTTTTGCTATCATTTTGGAATTTTTTTAAAAAAAAGAGTAGATATTTTTTTAATTAAAAATTTTTGACTTCAAAAGTAAAAGTGGCACATTTCATCAGGGAGCACTAAACTGAAAGTTAGACCTTGGGCTTAAATTCACCATAGTCAGACACATCCTAAAAACATGCAAAAAAAATTTTTTTATTGTTCATGAATGGGAAAGACTTTTCAGAAACAAAATTCAAAATTTCAGAACATTAGCTATTAAAAAACTTAAATCAAAGACAGTTACTTTTAATGAACAATTTTTTTTAGAAAAATTACTTTTTAAATAGAAATTACTTAAATATAAGTTACATTAAAGTATAATTACTGATATTAAATTCTTGTATAACGATCGATATATACTTTTAGTAGGAAACAATGGGACAAAAATCTCACCAGACTGAAACTATAAAATGCAGTATTAATACTAAAAATGATTTATAAATATCAAGAATTATCGACAAGTTTATTTCAATTACTGTTCTATTTTTCTTGATGTTCCAAATAATTGGGTTAAATTAGAAAGCTTTTTAATTAATTTCTACTCAATTTTTTAAATTCTTTACAAAAGAAATGCGTCTGATAAAGTGATAATAATGCTATTTCTATTGCTGATATATATATATGTGTTTAGTTTTAAAAATTCATCATTTATTAATATTTAATTAATTTTCAATTTGAATTTAATGTTTTAAACTTAATTGTAACTTTTAAAAGATAGCATCTTTAATTCATTGAATATCATTTATTTTTGTTTTAATTCTAATTCAGAGATGTCAGCACTATTATACATTTTTTAGGAGTCTGAGCAGTGTACCTAAGTTTCTTTTTGAACCTTTACCTTTACTTTGTTTTTTCTCCACGGCGCAAATTGATTTCGAGTTCGATGTGTTGTAGGTGTTCATATTTCTTTTTGGGACCAGCTCCCAAAAGATGTAACGATTGTTATGTTTCGATAGCTATTATGATTAGTTATATTGATTTTGAGGTGAGTCATATATTTTATGTTTTTGTTGTTAATGTCCTGTTGTGCTGAACTGACTGAAATGGTTTTCATGTTTGATTTAACTAAATAATTATTGCTGCTATCTTATTAATTACTTGATTACTGTTACAAAATTTAATTTCAGTTTATTTAGTGAAATCAATTATTATTCAATATTTTGTTTATTGTGAAATATATATTATTAAGCAGAATATAATGTTCTTAAGATATTTAAATTGTCAGGGTTTAAATTTTACAATATTATTTTTTCTTTCCCTTTTCTATTTAGGTAATTAATTTTACCTGGTCCATCATTTTACAATCATACATATGTAATAAATAAAAACAAGAGTATTTAAATATCAGTACCATGTACTTAGAATTTGAATCTTTCCTCATCTCTTGATTTTTTATTTTTATTAAAGATAATAAAAACAATTATCCTATTTTTTATTTATTTTTAAATCCAATTTTTTCTATTGTGTTTCATAAATCCGGGATACTCTTGTATCGTGACTTGTCACGTTAACGGCGATCGCCAAGGCAGAAATTGTCAACAATCGCCAAAAAGACTTCAAATTTGCATATTTTGTATAAAAAAAAAACACATAGATTTTTGTGCGGGAGACGCTATTTGTAATATCCTTCAAGTTGATCTCCTTCTGTGGTGTTTTTCTTTTAGTTTCTCGCGTAACTCTGCCCAGAGGTTGCCAAGACATGGCAATTGTACTGCCGCAGATCACGCTATAGAAATTTTCCCTATAAATCAGGAAGTCTGTTTTTTAATATTTTAATTCGATATGATAAAATTTAGGTCAATATCCACTTTGAATTTATTTTATTTCATATCATCATAACATCATTTAATATCATCTTAACATCTCTGTTGCACTTATACTTTTAAACTATCATGCCTCCGAAATTTAGCTAACCATGCAAAACACAAATCAAGACTAATCTACTGAAACAGGCCATGAACTGCAATATTTCATGCATTTCAACAACAGAATTTTCAACACTCATTAGAACTTAAGGTTCTGTATTCATAAATAAACTGTAACTAATTTTAAAACAAATATTGCAGTAAACTTTTCATACGATCATTTTAGGCAGTAAAGAATTCTATGAAAAATATAAATAAGAAGCTTACCACTTATAAAAAAAAATGCAAATAGACATTTTATTAACAGGTTTTTAAGGATTAACTAATTAATATAACCAAAGTTGCAACCTATTCGCAAATAAAATATTTAAAACATGTATTTGTTCAAATGGTTTAACTCAAATTTCCCTAATTTAATCTGATTACTTTTCTACAGAAATCAATTTCAATTCTATACAATTGCGAGAAATGTTCCAAACAAGTAGAAAATGTTTCAGACGAACTTGTTTCAAAGATCTAAAAAAACTAAAACTCAGCGGCGCGACAGCCCTCAGAGGGCCAAGGCCTACTGTGCACATCTCAGTTTTATTGACCTTTGGGCTCTGGGGTGCAAGAGCAGATGTTCCAGTTAGGTGGTCAGCCGAAGGCGAAACCCCCAGTGTTTAGTTCCAAAGCATGCTTGGTACTCATTTATCGACCCATTGAAGGGATGAAAGGCTGAATCAACCTTGTCCGGCCCGAGGATCGAACCAGGGACCTGTGACACGACAGCGCTACCTCTCAGCCACCGGGAGTCGTTTCAAAGATCACAGGGGCAAATAAAGAAACTAACCCAAAGTAACTTGGCTCTTAAATTTTCAAAATATTTTTAACAAATGATCTGAATAACTAAAATAGTTAACACTGATAACTCAAAGAAAATTATACCCTCATGCTACATAAATTTTATAAAATGAAACACATATTTTGTTTATGGTTGAATTAGATGATTTATAGTTTAAAAACAGTTTAAACAGTTTTACTGACAATAAATGTATAACAACGCATGATTTTGTACAAAGAGTTTAAAAATTCTAAAGTTTTATCTCGCCAAATCAGCATAAGGTAAGATTTTTGTATCTTGGGGGAATATTTTCGTATTGTGATCTGTCACACCTACTACAATTGGTGAATATTTTAAACTAGCAATTTTTTTCAAAAAAAAAAACATATATATATATATAGATGTTTGCCCTGGGGTGGCTACAAGCTATACCTTTCAAGTTTGTCCCTCTCTGAGACTTTTTTTTTTTTTTTGTAATTTCTCGCGGGCTACTGCCTGGAGGCTGCCAAAACTTTGCAATTATTCTGCTACAGATCACAATATGGAAATCTCTCCTATCTTGGTCTACAGCAGAATAATCGCCAAGTCTTCTGGGGTGAAAGGGGATATTTCCGTATCGTGATCTGTTGCACCAACTACAATTGCCAAGTTACCAAATAGATTTTAAACTTGAAAATTAAAAAAAAAAAACAAAAACATGCAGATGTTTATTCGTGGGTGGTTACGAGTTAAACCTTTCGAGTTGGTCCTTTACTGTGATGTTTCCTTTAGTTTCTCGTGGGCCGTTGCCTGGAAGTTTCCAAGACTTGGAGCTTATTCTGCCACAGATCATGATGCGGAAATCTCCCCGGGAGAAATTTTAAAAAATGACAGAAAGGGATCAACTCAACGGGTCAAGCAACTCAACTCCAACCCCCTCGGACAAACGCAAACCTCTCTATATATTTTTATAAAAAATTCACAAGTTTAAAATATGTTTGCCACCTTGGCGATTGCAGAGGGCGCGACAGATACGGAAGTATCCTCGAGCATAGCTTGAGAATATATTGAGAAAACAGTAATTATTCTAAGTTAAAACTAACAATAATTGTTACGTACATTACATCAAACTAAACATACATCAATTGCAACAAATATCTAATTACTCTACTAAAATTCTAACTCATTAACTAAGTTAGCACAATAATCAAAGCACTTTTCTTTAACACATTTCCCTATAAATTAAATCCATAATGTTTGAGAAAAAAAGATAAATTTCTGTTACCTACTATTATTTATAATTTTACTAAAGCAAATTATTCTTACCTGAAAACTTAATGATAGAAAGTTATATTCTGTTAATAATTACGATTTATTCGACTTTTTTAGTGATGCATAAGAGCATCATTTGGTATAAAAACATATAACTTACAAGATAAAAATTCTTACCCAAAATATCAAATTGAAAAAAAATAAAGAATATTTTGTATATGAGCTTATATAGTCTTCTGAATATCGAATCATATTTAACATAGTAATTTTTTAACAAAATGACAAAAAATGATTAAATCAAAAATTATTATTGCTTTGACACTCGAATACAAACTAACTCTCTAACCAAATAAAAGCTTCAGTTTCACAATCTGCCGGATTTCCGTCTGGCGACAGTAAACGGAAGTTAAGGAACTATCTATCAGCAAATAGAGAGAGGATGACTTGCCATGATTTAACACCGGTTTGTCAGCATGCGTCAATGTCTTACAGATAATAGGTACTCGCAAAAAGAAGTGAAAGTCTTATTTTTTTAATGGCAACGAAAAACGGGTTCTCTTCCTCGTACATTCGTCGTGGCGACTTTTTCTGTGGATGGCGTTTTCCACATTAGGAAGCGTTGCAAGCTCCATACCTCCTACACTTCCAGGTTACAGTTTCCGGTGTACATTTATTTTATAAGTGTAAGCAATGAAAATTGCGGCTAAAAATTTCTATAAAACTTTTTTCGCAATTTATCTAATTATTTAGGCAGTTTAGTTCAGAACCATATTTAGGAAAATATATTCCCTTAAAAATCTTTATATTCTCAAGAAATTACATTTTCAAACTCTAAGCAAACAAAAATTGATGAATTTATTTGTTATATTAGTTCTAATGCTGTAGAAAATTTAAATTTGTTTTCTATAAATAATAAATACTTAAGTACATATTTAAGTGCTTTTAAGTATTTAAGTCTAAACATTTATCTGTCTTTTTATGACTTGTATGTCCCAGACAAATGTTGCTGTCATGTTTAGTTGATAAGTTTAAAGATATGTGCAATGATCTCTATGACACAAAATACTATAAAATGCAAAGACACATGTTTTAAGATGTACCTAAAAAAGGTCTTTATTTTTGTTGTTTATTATTCGGATAAACTTAGATAAAAGTCTTTATTAAACCTCTGTGGAGTAATATTTTAGAATTATTTTTGTGAATGACCAATTTAAAGAATTATTCATAGGCTTTTACTGGATGGTAAATATTGTTCTGAATTTTCGTATTATTCTCAACTTCGCACTTCATTAACGAGGGGAAATGTTTTTCTTTTACGGATTAAGTTTTCTTGTTTTCACTTGAAAACCTAAGTAGAATCTAATAATTTTCAGTTTTCTCTTCAACTAGTTCCTTTAAATATGCGAATTATAACATAAAAAATAAATAATATAGATCTTCATATAGAAGTATCGGATAAATTATGTTAAACTTGAATTTTCAAATGAGACGGTTCTTGAAAATGATAATCTCGTGCTTTGGTAGATATATCTAATCAGTTCCTAATCTAGTCAGAAAAAAGCTTGCCAACCCTGGTATTTGAATAATTTCATATGTTTGAAGAAACTACTAGTAAGAAATTTTTAAAACCGTTAAGTGGAAGAGAAGAATCCTTATGTACAAAATACTTATTTATATTTGATGTTATTTGCATCCAAATTTATTGTTTGAATGCTTATTAATAAATTTATTTGAGATGACTTTAGTAGGTGAACTGCATTTTAGCTGAAGTCTTACCAACAGTGTAGAATTTTTCTGCAGAAATTTCAGAAAAATGGAAAATAGCTGGGTAACTATTTTGATAAATAAAGTTTTAAATTTTTCAGATGACCAGAAGTAATTTGGACTTCTTATTGTAGCTTTGTACTTTAAAAGCTTTTATTGAAGTAAAAAATCATATCTAATGTGACTACAAGGAAAATATTTAATTAATTGCAGTATCTCCGTACTATAAATAAATGAAATTAAGAAATAATAAAATTATTTGTATTTTTTTGTGCAAATAATACTTAAAATGTTTCATTAAAATCAGCTGAGACAGTGTTTTGAGTTATCACTTTTGAAGTATAAAATCAGTAAATCTTAATTTGTGATATCTACCAACTTAAATCTCTACACTTTTAAAATTTACAAACTTTATTTGTAATTTTTCAGATACATTTTCTATCCTATTCTCATTATCAATATTAAGTACATACTTTTATATGTTTGATCTTTAGGTAATGAAATGATTTGGGAAACTCTATACAAAATGCAATCAGATCCATTAAAACGGAAGAATTGCTCAGCACAGTTATTCTATTTTGAATAATTAGTCTGATTCTGGGCAAATGAAATTATAGTAAAAAAAAAAAATACTTATAGTGATGGGGGGATTTAAATGAGAAGAAAATATATCAATACAATACTCAACAAATAAAGGTTTAAATCTTTTTTTTATGGTACATTTTGATTAAATTATATTTTCGCTTGTAAGATTATTGATGTCGAATTTTTTGAAGTTGCTTACAAATAAATGAAATATGTGAAGTATTTTGTGTGTTTTTTTTTAAATTTATAGTATGAAAAATAATTTTATATATATATATATATATATATATATATGCAGCGGCTGCTGCTTTTAAGCCAATTTCAAGCTAAACGCCGAAATGTGGCAAACTTACGTCGCCAGTTGGCGATAAGGACAATCACGATTGCAGACCTAACTGCACCTGTTTTTCTCCTCAGTTCGGTCTGTGACGACGCCTGTGTATATTACTGGGACAACCTGTCCGCCACGATGTTTAATCTAGAACTTAACTTGTAACCTTAATTGTTATCCTTTTATTAAATTTATTATTATTTAATTATGGCTGGCATTCTGTTANCATCGAGCACCAAACTGCACACTACTGCCCTCTACCGGCAATGATACCAACCGATCACTCCATTTCTCTTTCCTTTTATTTCCCCTGTTTACGCCTCACCGCGTCACTTGCGACTATACATTCCTATACAATAAATCATTGTTACAATGTCCTGTACCTACCATTAAAGTTTGTACCATGAATTCGGGACCACCCTGTATATATAGTTTTTAGCATTCTAAAAATGCATATTAAAAACTGGTTATGGGGCTTTCTGTATATGAGCTTCAGCTTATTTAAATATACGATGGCATACATCAAAAAACTTAAGTTCAAATAGTTAAGTAAGAATGCAAAGAATTGAAATATTTTGTTAAGAAATGCTTTGTTTCTTCCCCAAACCGTTGAAATAAATACATTTTCTAAAAGAGTTACTAATTCCGCTTTCACCTTTCATTAGATGCATTTAGAAGAATCACATCCACCATAATATATATTTGAAATTAGTAGATTTAAGATGTCTATAAAAACTAAAAAAAAAAGTGAAATGTTTAATTATGAAATTGTATTTTTCTACCATTCTTTGTATTTTTAAGCATTTTGCAATCTGCTTCTGTCCAAATCCACTGCTTGTCAAAATTATTTGACAGTTTGATAAAGTATTTTGGAATACATTCTATTTAAATACTTCAAAAAATTTTACGCTAAGCATAAAATCAACAAGTAAATAGACAATTTTTATTTTTAGGATTTAGTTTATTTTAAGTTAAAGGATACGCCATGCATTTTATGAAAAATTATATTGCCTGACATAACCGGGGCATATATTTTTACTTTTATGAACAACACCGGGAATGTAAATATTTAACTGCAGAAGCTGTAAAATACCAATTCAGTGCCTCTTAAATTTTGTCGAAAGTTGATATGACAAAATGGGAATGGGGAACATAAAAAATGGAAGAAAAAAAAACTATCGTAGAGTCCCGATTGTCCGTGTTTCCGCTTCAACCGAGCTATCAAATATTTCAAGGATTTTTTTTTTTTGTTCTTGTTTATTTTCAAAACTATCGCCGAAAAGAATTCTGAATTTTATCTTCCAAACATTCAGGAAAACAAGCTGACGGACAACACGAGATTAGCGATGAAATGAGAGCTTATATCTTCAATAATGAAAATGAATCTAGCGAAGATGTGCAAGACAGTGTGAGGATGAAAATCATAATCAACATATAAAAAGCTCTCCTACAGATAGACTAAAAGCTATCGAAAGTGCTACTGAATATATAGAACAGGGGTTTCCAACTTACATGAGGCCGGGGGTCGCAACTTTTTCAAAATTTTATATAGGACTCTTTTTAAGTTTGAAGGAACATTAAATATTACTGTCAGTTTTTTTATCAAGTTGTACGAAATAAAAATATTGAATTACAGATTAAAATAAGACGCAAATTTTTAAAAATATTTAATTGCATATTAAAAAATTCTGGCTACAATAACTTTAATGTGCAACAGACATCAATATATTTTAAATGACAACTAATATATTTTAGTTCGCTGGCCGCCAGTTAGTAACCACTGATACAGAACAACAAAAAGAGGCAACACCAACCTTCTTGCTATCCCTAAAAAAATGGCGATCGAACTGGACTGTAGGTGGCGTAAAGCAGAACTCTCTACCTATGGCAACGCTTCGCATGCTTTCCCCATTAGCGTGTGGAGAATCATAGAGGAAGGAAGTACATTAGTTTCTCTCTTGATTTCCATATATATTAAAATCTTTTAAGTTGGAAAACTATGTGGAACTGAAAACTACATTAAGCATAGTTCTAAAGAGAAGCATCATGGAAATTTAAAAAAATATTTTTATTAAATCAAAAGGAAAAATATTAAGAAAAGGGAAAATATCTTAGTACATTCCTATTCAGCTGAAAAGAGGAGGAGAGGGAAGGGAGAAGATCCAAAGGCACGAAACCGATCTCTCCCGAGATGGCGTATTCGAGCACTTAATTATGTAAAAACTCTTTAATTCCCGTAAAATATGCTCTTTTAATGTTTTTAAGTAAGCTTTTTAATTATGATATAAATTGTATGAGCTGTACTCGTATAAATTTTGCATTTGTTAAATATACTACATTTATACCTATACTGCGGCTTTGAGGAGAACTCCTCCAGACTGAAACTCTGGGGTTGTCTGCTGATTTTGTTGTTGTCGTTTGACAAGTGCGGAAAAGTGCAAGTTAAATGGGACCAAAGGCATGGACCACAGCCCTGGCCACATCTCCGACTCTTTCGGAATAAAGGGTGTCATGGCAGCAGTTGAGGTCGATGTTGAAGAGGGTCGAGGCAACAGAGACACAGCTGAAGAGATGCCTCGGATCCAGCTGAGCACCTAGGCAGTGCCTGCAATCTCTCGGGGGAGCCTGCAACCCCTAGAGAGTGCGTCCCCAGGTTGGCGGATAGGGGAATGCCTTCACTGGTTTTCCAGTGGGTGATTAAAGGGAAATAAAATACATTCCGCGGACAAACGATCAAAGTTAAACCTCTCGAGGCAATGGCGAACCCCTCTATGACAAGTGCAATATCAATATCTTCTAGGCTGTCTGCTGTTATGGTAATAAGCGAGAGCACATTTTTAATGGGGGTGAAATGGAGGAAAGAAGGTGTCGATTGGTTTACTTACGACAACCTACGCTAAGATTAAGACAAAAATATTCTCCCCACACCCCTATTCGAAGTGACCTTTCATCATAACCATAGTACCCGCCACGACGCGAGACGGGTGTCTGGAGGAGTTCTAATAGCCGTACTATACAAGGGCGCCGGCAGGGGGGTGCAAGGAGGTGCACTTGCACCCCTTTGGCTTTTTTTTTCTTAACAATTAAGCAG